TGGTAATCTGGCTTCCCATCCTTACTTCACAAAATCCAATGGCAGTGTTCCTATGGCCTCCGAAAGCCATCTACCAATTATCGACCCTGAGTATAGCCCGGTATCGGCTATTCCACATCCAAATCAGCATCCGCTGAAGAAAGTAGGAGGCTGCGCGTCCGTATATTGGGGATGTGAGACGCCTAGTCCAATGGAAAAGAACCAGCCAGTACAATCCCTGGATTTCCTGAACTGCTTCCCAGGACGGGTGGAACCACCAATGTCCCCATCCCCGTGACTAACCCATTCATCCCGTTTGGGTACCCCACTATATTAGCCAACTTTACCGGTATGCCTTCTGAGGTCCGCCCCCGGGCACCATTTTCAGGGGTACCTTCTACGTTATTCACCGCACCACCAGTCTCTACTACGGCACAGCCAACAGTGCCCAGACCATGCTTCGAGCCTTCAGCTTTCACTTTTCAAGGCCCGTAATTTCAGTTAGACACAATTCATGTTACCCCAAACTCTTACGCTCAGCACCTGCAATATGAGTCTCCCATGGGACAAGAAAGAACAGTGAGAAATCCCGAGCAGGAAGAAATGGCTCGGAAGATGAGAAGCCTAGAACAAAGCCTGAAAAGCATGTAAGGCCTGAGTGGACAAAAGAGTCTCGTACTTAGACCTATGTATGCTTCCCTATGTTCACTTGCTTGCTGGCTTTAAAATGCCAAAATTTGAAAAATACGACGGGCACGGGGACCCGATCGCTTATCTAAAACGATACTGTAACCAGCTGAGGGGTACTGGTGGAAAAGAAGAATTATTGATGGCTTATTTCGGGGAAAGCTTGACTGGAATCGCTTTAGAATGGTACATGGACCAGGAAATCTCCCACTAGCACATATGGGACAATTTGGCCCGTGATTTCGTCAGACAGTTTCAGTATAATGTTGAACTCCCTGTCTAATTTGAAGAAGAAAACCATTAAGAGCTTCCGTGAATATGCTATTAAATGGCGGGAGCAGGCTGCCAGAGTAAAGCCTCCCATGGATGAAACCGAGATAGTTACGATTTTCTTATAGGCCCAGGAGGCCGATTACTTTCAGAACATAATGTCCGCCATGGGCTAACCTTTTGCAGAAGCAATAAAATTTGGAGAAATGGTGGAAAACAGTCTGAAAACTAGCCGAATATTAAGTCAATCTGCTTTGAGAGCCACCTCCCAAGCCATCCAGAACGGCTCAAGAGGTTTGGCCAATCGAAAGAAGAGGGATCAAGGAGCCATGATGGCTTCAGGTTCATGAGGGCCCCGTCGATCATATGACCACTCCTACATGACGCCCAGAACCCCGCAACACTACTATCCCCACCAAGATGCAGCTTATGCTGTGGCACCGCCTCATTATATGGTGATGAATGCCCAACCCTATGCACGGCCACAACAACACTACAACCAAGCCCGAGCCCCACCTCCCGAAAATAACCATCCTCACCAAGCTTCATATAACCCCCGTACACCACAAGACAACTACCAACATAATTCACGCCCTCATGAGCCTCCCAAGAGAAACAACTTCATTCTTATTGGTGAATCCTACTCTAGCCTGTTTTCAAAGTTAATCCAGATGGGTCTATTGCAACCTGTACCCCCAAACCGGCAAAATCCTGAATCCCCATCATACCATCCCGGTACCAGGCCTACCATGCGGGAGCGGAGGGTCATGATACGGAGGACTGTTGGACCCTGAAAATGGCAGTTGAAAGTTTAATAGAACAAAAACGAGTGGTATTGAGGGAGTCCCTAATGTGACTAACAATCCATTACCGGCTCACAACAATGGGCCGGTCATTGGAATGATTTGTGATGACAAGGAATTTAATCTAGCCTTGAAAGCCATCATTGCCATCGCTGATTCAGAGGCAAGACCCAAAGCGGCGGCGAAACAAGCCAGAAATGAGAAGAAAATCACTCCAATTCCTTAGGATGTAGAAAAAGCTGTAGAAACAAAAACTGGGGCAGCACCTGCTAAGAACGCAATTTTCTATGTTCCTAAGGCCCCAAGGAATGAACAGATCATTTTGAACACTCCCAAAAGATTCGAGCAAAGGAAAGCCACGCTGAATGTGCCAAAGTTATATGTTCCAAAAGGGACATATGTGGCACGACGGCCGATAATTCCACCAAGGCTGACTGAGCCCGTGGTTATCAGTCATGCACCATAGAGACCTATGAGAGACACCGCCGCAGTCCCCTAGAATTACAACAAATTAGTGGTTACTTACAAGGGGAAAGAGGTCATGGGAGAGGTGAACGAAATGAATCAATCTGGGAGGTACCACAATCCAAAAGAGTTAAAGAAATTAAAATTGAACAAGGATAAACGGTTTCCACCCAAGAAGCCTCTGAGCGCTGAAGAAGCAGAAGAGTTTTTCCGAAAAATGAAAACGTCGAAATATGCAATAGTTGACCAACTCCGAAATACTCCTTCCTAGGTCTCACTTTTATCTTTGCCATTGAGATCGAATGAACATCAGAAGGTACTCTTCAAAACATTGAATAGGGAATATGTCCCGGTTGACACGTTAGTTGAACGACTGGAAAGAATGGCTGAACGATTCTTCAAGGTCAACAGGATTTTTTCCAGCCGCGATGATTTGTCCTTTGAGGGAGCTGCCCATAACAAATCTCTTCACTTGACTGTCAGATGTGAGGGTTATTATGTAAAGAGAGTCATGCTAGATGTTAGTTCCAGGGTCGACATTTGCCCTCTCTCAACGCTCCAGAGGATGGATATTGGAACAGAAAGAATCTGACCAAACAATGTCTGTGTGCGGGCTTTTGATGGTGTCAAGTGATTTACAATAGGGGAAATTGATTTAATTTTGACCATTGGCCCCGTGGACTTCGAAGTGACTTTCCAGGTTCTGGACATGGATACTTCATATAATTTTCTCCTAGGAAGACCATGGATTCATGCTGCAGGAGTTGTGCCCTCCACTCTCCATCAAATGGTCAAATTTGAGTATGAAAACCAAGAAATTGTTGTCCATGAGGAGGATGAACAGTCCATTTACAGGGACCCTTCAGTCCCTTGTCTCGAAGCTAGAAAAGGAAGCGAGCACATTGTCTACCAAGCCTTCGAAATTATGGTTACCGACCAATGCGAAGAAGGAGCCCTAATCCCTCAACCTTGCTTATCTAATGCCCTGGTCATGGTCGCTACTGAAATGATTAGACATGGGTACAAGTCCGGAAAGGGGCTCGGGGTATCTCTACAAGGCATCACAGAGCCTATCACTTCAATCGCCAATGAGAAGTTCTTCGGCATAAGTTTCCAAGCTACAAATGCCGAGAGAAAATGGGTTGATGAGCGCAAAGAAAATAGGTGGGTCCTGCCCCAGCCCGTTCCACACCTTGCCCGTTCATTTGTGAAACGCAAATATGTGGAAGAAGAGGAAGAAGAGGCCTTCACGGCCGAAGAGATCGACGATATTTGTGAAGACATGAAACAAATGTTGTATGAGTCTCACATGGTTCAGCCCGGGGAAGGCAAAAGTAATGCCGAGGTGCTGTACATGGGACCAGGTGCAAGCTTCATAATTGGAAAATCTACCCGATTCCCTGTCAGACGGGAGTCCCGGTAGTCCAGTCTTGCCATCTCTTCTACATTACGTGTTATTTCAGGGTGTAACTGGAATGTTCTTACTTTATTGTCTTTGATTTCAATGTAAACCCTCATATCCTTCAATTTAATAAAATGAAATCAATATTACATTGTCAATGGATGTCTCTTTTTTCTTTATTCTGATTTTTGCTATTTTTCTTATCTTTTTCTTTTCAGTTCTAATAATGCGGACTTAAATAACATGAGATGCTTACGGACTTCATGCCCAGATCCTAAAATGCTGTCTAACTGTGAAATAATGAATCAAGAACCAGAATATGATGAAGATGAGGCTTTTAGGGAAATAAATCGAGAATTGGAACAATTTGAGAATAAGCCTAAGTCAAACTTAAATGAAACCGAGCCAGTTAATTTTGGCAGTCCAGAAGAGGTCCGGGAAACCATAATAAGCATTCATGCTGATGAAAGAACCAGAGATGCATTGATCCAACTTTTGTTTGAATTCAAAGACGTGTTTGCATGGTCCTATGATGATATGCCAGGGTTGAATGTTGATTTGGTGGTACATAAATTGCCAACTTATCCTGGTTATCCACTCGTCCAACAAAAGCAGAGAAAGTTTAAAATGGACATCGGTGATAAGATCAAAGAAGAAGTCACCGAACAATTGAAAGCTGGTGTGATCCGAGTGGTCCGATACACCCATGGCTGGCTAATGTGGTTTCAATGCCGAAGAAAGACGGGAAAACTCGAGTGTGTGTCGATTATCGGGATTTGAACAAAGCAAGACCCAAGGATAATTTTCCGTTGCCAAACATCCACATTCTCGTTGACAATTGTGCCAAACATGAGATACAATCTTTCGTGGATTGTTATAATGGTATCACCAGGTCTTGATGGATGATGAAGACACAGAAAATATGGCTTTCACCATACCGTGGGGCAATTTATTACAGGGTCATGCCATTCGGTCTGAAAAATGCCGGGGCAACCTACTGCACCAAGAAATTGAAGTGTATGTAGATGATGTGATCATCAAATCCAAGACGCAAGAAGGCCATGTGCGAGATCTGAGGAAATTCTTTAAATGCCTACATAGGTATGACTTGAAATTGAACCCAACTAAATGTGCATTTGGAGTTCCGTTCGGAAAACTTCTGGGGTTTATAGTCAGCCGGAGGGGTATCGAGTTAGACCCAACAAAGATAAAGTCTATTCAGGATTTGCCACCTCCGAGAACTAAGAAAGAGGTCATGAGTCTGCTAGGAAGATTGAATTACATCAGCAGGTTCATTGCTCAACTTACTACCACGTGTGAGCCCATATTTAAGTTGCTGAAGAAAGAAACGACAATCAAATGTACAAATGAATGTCAAGAAGCTTTTGATAAAATCAAAGAATATCTGTCAAATCCGCCAGTTTTGGTTGCGCCTGAGCCTGTCAAATCAAAGAAGCTTTTGATAAAATCAAATGCTTTCATACTCATGGGGCAACCTCATACCCTTGCTTGCTTGAAATGTGACTTCTTCATCATTTACCCGGAATTTAATTTCTTTCCGCTCTGAATCCATGAGTGCTCTTCCCGTGGCTAGGAACGGTCTCCCCAAAATGATAGGGATTTCTTTATCAACCGCACAATCAAGAATTACGAAGTCGGCGGGTAATTGGAATCCTCCAACTTTCACAATCACATCATCAACAATTCCTACCGGTCGCTTAATGGAACGATCGGCCATTTGTAATCTCATGCTTGTTGGCCTTGGAATGCCTAATCCCGCTTGCTTATAAATGGCAAGTGGCATCAAGTTGATGCTAGCCCCATTGTCACAGAGGGCTCTTGCAAATTCACGCGTCCCGATAGTGCATGGAATAGTAAAGGCTCCCGGGTCCTTTTTCTTTTGGACAAGGGTTGTGGCAATAATAGAGCTAACCCGGTGAGTCATGTTTACCACCTCATTCTTTGTGGTCCTCTTCTTGGTGATCAAATCCTTCAAATATTTAGCAAACCTCGGCATCTCTTGAAAAGCTTCCACAAAAGGAATATTCACCGTTAATTGCTTTAGGATGTCGTAGAATTTTTCAAGTTTTCTATCATCAATCTTTCTTGCGAGCCTTTGAGGAAATGGGGGAGGAGGTCCAGGAATAGGTGGAAGAGCTTTTGGTGTCTCTTTCACTTTTTCCTTCACCTCTTCCCGGTTCTCTTTTTGCCCTTTCAACTCGTCCGGAATCTTTTCAACCTCGACAACACTTGGCTCTTCAACCTCAACCCTTTGTTCGGACTCTTCTTCTTCAACCGTTTGTTCAACCTCTCCGTGTAGCACTTTCCCACTCCTAGTAGTGATCGCCATGATGTGAGAAGTTGGGCCACTCCCACTATGATTTGCAACCGTGTCACTAGGGAGTGTTCCCTTTTGTTTTGGATTTTGCTCTTTGGAGAGGTCTCTCATTTGCATCTCCAATTTTTGGATGGAGGCGGTATGAGATCCAACAACCTCGGTCATGTTCCTCATGGAAGCATCGGATTTTTCTTGATTTTGCAACACTCGCTCAAGCATAGCTTCCAACTTTGATTCACTAGAGGACCCTTGGTTCGAATATTGACCCTTTGGAGGAACATAGGGGTTTGAACTCCGGTTAGAAAAGTTGTTGTTGTGTTCCAATTCCCTTGGTTCGAGCCACCTTGGTCATGCCTCCATTGTTGGTTGCCTTGCCCTTGCGGGTTTTGCCTCCATTGACTTTGTTGCCCTTGACCCTGATAATGTTGTCTTTGATACCCTCCTTGAGGGTTGTTGATGTAATTAGCTTCTTCAAACTCTTCATTGGAGATGGGTTGCACATCCTCGACTACATTCACCTTTTTGGTTTGATTTTCCGTGAACATTTTTGTCAACACATTTACATTTGTGGCCAACCCTGCAATTATTTGGTCCCTCTCTTGATTCTCCTTGATCAAGTTGGTCAAGGAAGGAGAACCATATGCAACTCCGCCCGAAGTATCCTCAGAATGCCAAGCTTGATTGTGTTTTGCCATCTTGTCAAGTATTTGCGTAACTCTTGCAAAAGACTTGTCCATAAATGATCCGTCCGCCGCATTCTTCGCTATAGCTTGGTTCATAGGATCCAAACCCATATAAAATTTCTCTAGCAAGATGGAATCTGGAAAGCCATGATTTGGAGACCTCACCAAATATAATTTGAATCGATCCCATGCCTCATGTAGGTGTTCCCCTGGTTGTTGCTTGAAGAAGAAAATCTTATCTCGAAGCTCAGATTTCTTGCTCTGTGGGAACCATTTTGCTAGAAATGCCCGGACAAGTTCAGGCCAAGACCGAATAGAATTTGGTGGCAAGTTTTGAAGCCACCTCCTTGCGTCTCCAGCTAGCGAGTACTTGAAGACCCTCAACCTTAGGGCATTATCTGAGACATTGTTTTGCTTATGCATAGCACACACTCCCAAGAAGTTCCTAAGATGTTGTGTTGGATCATCATCAGTAGAATTCCTAAAATACCCCTCCGCTTTAAGCGTTAGAATTAGACCATATTCCACTTTGAAAGTTGAGGCACCAATAGCCGGAGGTACAATAGCATTTGTATCATCAATGTACTCATCTATGTCCGCAAAAGGATTTTCTTCCACTTCTTCCTCGTAATCAGACATGTTTTCCTATCAACACCAAGCAGAGCAAGCGAAGAGTGATGGAATAGAATAAGACGTAAAGTAAAGCACACACTAAATAGTAATTTCAAAATCGTATTCCCCGGCAACGGCGCCAAAATTTGATACGCTCAAATTACACTTTTATAAATTGTGTAAGGTGGTCGATGTCAAATATAATAACCCAACAAGGTTGGGGTCGAATCCCACAGGGAATAGCTGTAAAAAGGTTACTGGGATAGTGTGTTACTCGACTAAAGCCGTAATCCTATCCAGTTAACGATAACAAGAGTGTGAATTAATAGTGATGAAAGTATGAATTTAGTTTGTTTTGAAGTAACAACCAATTGGAATATTGAAGGTGTAATTAATAAGATTAAAGAAACCAAGGTTGTGTCCCCTTTAATGAAATGTAATGCTATCGGTGTTAATATGATATATTTCTAATGGTTGGTCCCTTTGATATGCAAATGATGTCTAAGCAACTACCCAATATTTCCCAATAGTTGGGTAGTATTTCTTCTTTATAATTTTCCCAAATGTAAAAGAGTTGCAATTAATAACAATCAATACATGCCAAATAAAACCCACTTATCCCTAAGCGATTTTATCAAACAAGGTTTCATGACTTGAGTCTTTGATATTTACTTCTACCAAATTCTAACCCACTTTCCCAAGCAAAGTAGAATTTAATGGCACTTGTTAATGTTTGCAACCACCAACAATAAATGAAGTACGAGAAATAAATAAATATCAACCAACCATTATATATATATGCAATGTTAAACACCCATTAACATAACACCCATTTAGAGGCCACAACCTAAGTATTTGGAGTTAGCTACTCATACTAAAATACAGAAGCAAGAGAATAATAAAAGCCATAAAGCTTACTAAGGGAATATTCTTGACCCCAAAAGACTCCAAAAGTGAGGAGTATTAAAGTCTTGGAATGTAGCTCAAAAACCAGACAAGATGAGCCCACAAAAACATCATAATGCTATTTATAGTGGACTGAAAATCGTGACAGAAAACGGACAAAAATACCCTTTCAGGTTAGAAATGCGGTCGCATTCTCGTCGCATAAGCGACATGCGGTCCGCATTTTGGACGTCTCCATCGCAGATTGAAACCCTAGCTTTCACATCATCATCTCCTTCCAGCTCTGCGGTTCGCATTGCAGAAACGCGATCGCATTTTGCATCGCACATTTGTCCTTCAGCAACCTTCATGGTTGGTTTGCGGTTCACTTTGCGGCTCGCAGACAGGTTCTGCAGTCGCATAGTGGACCGCATTCTTGACTTGAAATTTGCCCAGGAGTCTGTTTTTGTCTGCGATCTAAGTGTTCATTCTGCGGCTCGCATATGTGATCGGCGATCGCATAATACGTCGCAGAATCATCTTTTTGCTGCATTTTGCTCTTTTCTTGTCTTTTTTTTGCTTTCATTTCCATGCTCCTGGGTCCTTAGTCCTTATGTACTGTAAAAATACCAAAATTACATAAGTCAAGGAGATAGTATCATTAAAACAAGTTAAAATCTAAGCAATTAGTATTGAAATGTGCCGAAATTCTCCGGCACATCATACGTCAGATTTTCTCGTTGCTACTTTAATGGCACCGGTGTGTGCCTTTATGAACGAGTCCTCCAGCACGGCAAATGAGTCTATGGAGTTGGGAGCTAGATTATGGTACCACATCATGGCCCCTTTCGAGAGCGTTTCCCCGAACTTCTTCAATAAGATGGAATCGATCTCGTCGTCTTTTATGTCGTTGCCCTTTACTGCGCACGTGCAGGCGGTAAGGTGCTCGTTCGAGTCTGAGATCCCGTTGTATTTTAGGGGTTATGGCATTCTGAACTTCTTTGGGATGGGTTTCGGAGCAGCTTCCTCCGGGAACGGCCGCTGCACGAACTTCCTCGAATCTACGCCTTTCAGGACCGGGGGCGCGCCCGGGATTTGGTCAACCCTGGAGTTGTAAGTTTCGACCTTCTTGTTGTTTGCAGCTATCATCTTCTCGGTCGATTGATCCTTCTGGTAAGATCCTCGAGCATTTTCACGAAAGCAGGGTCGACTATCGAACCATTATTGCTCAGTCTCTCTGGTACCTGTTTGGCCGGGGGAGTTGTCCCAGGTGCTACGGTGCTGGGAGTATTCGGGTGGCTTTGCAGCTGAGCGATAGCCAGCTGTTGTGCCTGCAACATTTCAAAAATAACATGAAGGCTAACTTCCTGTTGGGCGTTTTGTTGTATGTTTTTGTCAGTGTGTGATGTTTCGCCGACCTGCTGTGTATCTTGCGAACCCGCGTCCTGGAATTGGTCCAGGTGCGTTATCGGGGTTTAGTAGTGGCGCGCCGACGATTGGAACAGCTACACCGTTCTCTCCATGGTGTTCGAGGTTGTTGTTCTCAACTCTGTTCACTGAGCCAGACATTTTCACTTGAAATCGAAGATCTTGGACAAGAAGAAGTGTGAAAGATAACTCGCGTTGTGTAACGAAACTAACAAGAAAATAATCACTATTATTTTTAACCCCACGATGGGCGCCAAACTATTTACCGTGAAAATGGCAATAACAATTAAATTTCTTGATGAGACTCTAAATATATGTGATTTATTTTGATGCTAGTTGTGGAGCAGTTGATGCTATGTGTGTGTAATTTAAGGGTGAGACACGAGCCAAAACAGAGCAGTAATCAAACCGAGAAATAGCCGCTCGGGGCCTCGAGCTGGTCGAATTGGGCCTCGAGGTCAGATCTCGAGCTCGAGCTCGAGCTATCGGGGGGAATCGGAGGAGGGCTAACAGATACGATAATATTAAAAGAGGCTCTTTATGGCCGATGAAAAGCAATAAATAAGGAATGAATGTAGAACAAGTATGAAAATAACAAGATAGAACAACAATGTCGAGAGAGTGTCTTAGAGAGAAAGAGAGAGAGTTATTATATATTTCATGTCAAGCCTGTAAAGGTATGGAGATGGGACGGCTGGAAATGACGCCCCGAGTAGGGATCAGAGTAGCCTGGCTAGGCTTTGGCTGACTCAACCGTGACATGCTTAGCCATGTCTTGGGAACTCCTAATTTTGCTTCAGCCCCGACCGACATCCTCTCAAAGTCGAATGTCGACGGGCCCCGAGGAAGGAGACTCGAGCGCATCTTTGTAGCCTCGAGTCTTCGAGGCGATCTTCCAAAATACCTTGTTATCGGGAAATTAGACCCTTCAATTTTGCCGTATACATCTTCTAAGGGCGAGGATGCTTGTAGCGGGGCAAGCCCTGCTTGGAGGTTCAAAAGAAACTGTCAGCCGAACCTGCGGCCTATGAATCCTCTATTTTTGGAAGAACGGTTCCTTCCTTACCACCGTCTACCATTCCCGTCGAAGGTACTTCGAGGGACAAGGGTTTCTTGTCGCCTTCCTCTTCCCCTACCGAAGGTACTTCGAGGAAAATTCGAGGCCAGGGGCCGAGTGAATCGAGTGGAAGATCGGGAAATCGCGCTCCCATCGGGGGTAGTTTTACTGCGGCCGATGAGGCCAAGCCAGTAAATGTGTGCTCGACTTTTGACGAAGCTCAGCGGCTCAGTTCCATGGTGAGTTTCGATAGTAGGTACATTCGTGCCTTCCCTTTCTTATTGAGCTCCCTTTTCGCAGGCCTGTGTCAAGCTCAAGTCTGAGCTGCTTCGTCATGACCTTAGGTTACGGAAAGCTTTGGATAGGGAGAAATGCAGCAGTCTTCTTTGTAAGAAGAGGGGAGATGAGTTGGACTACCTGCGGTACAAGGCAGATCAAAGTCAGAACTACGAAAGCTATCTCGAATGACAGGTAACCTTTATTTCGAGTCGATGTATGCT